GGGAGGGTGGGGGGTGTCCTGGATGGGGGCAGTGGTCCCCGGAGGCTGATGCAGATGCAGCCAGGATGTCCCTCTCCTGGGAGCAGAGGTGGTGTGAGGTCAAATCCCACCGGAGCTGGCTCTGTACTGCTGAGGACAGTAGCGCTGAATCTGTTGGGAGCCCGAGATGTCCAGTTGTCTGTCCGGCACCCATCTGTCTGTCACGCCAGTCTCATGCTGTCTCCTTTCTTTGTACAGACGCTACAGCTGAGGGTAAATCAAGGGCCAGCTGAAATTCAGTCCTTTCCCAGCAGGGCTCTGAGCTGATGAGCTGCAGGGGCCGCACTGGGTCTGCACTGGGCTGCTGGAGCCAAACGCGTCCCCGGTGCCAGCGCCTCAGGGGACACGCACCGCTCGCGTGCAGCAGCCTCCTGCTGCTGACGGCAATTTTTAAGCTTATCCTGAATTCCGTGAAGCTTGTTTTCCTACTGGATTGCGTTTCCTACTTGATTGTAGACTTGCCAGGTTTTGCTCCTTCCTCCAGGCCACGAATAAAGAACTTCCACCCTGAGCTGCGACGCTTCTCGTCTGTTCGCCTGCGCAGGGGGTTGATCCCGCAGCCTCTGACTGCTGGGAGCTCGGGAAGGTTTGCTCGTGCTCCTTGGCCTCTTGCGAGCCGGCACTGGCAGGAGCTTTAGGAGGCTAATGCACGTCTTGGGTGCGAGCGTCGCTGAAGTAGCTCGCTGCTGCACGAGCAAAGCCGGCACCCGTGCCCTGCCGTGCTGACTGATCCTGGTGGTCCGAATTGGGCCCTGAGGGAGGGTGGAAAACCAGCGTTGCCACTAGCAGAGCCTTGTGCGGCCCCAGCCCTTGGCGGCTGTTGTGTCGCAGGCCAGCGGTGCTTGGGGACCTGCCACCTCCTCGGCCCCAGCTGGCTCTGGGGACGCGGTTCCAGCAGTCATTGGGCTCATCGGCAGAGGTGATGGGAAGGTGCTGAGGGACTCGGCGAGAGACACGCCGACCCCTTCGGAGGGGGTGGGGATGTGGTGCTTGGACTGGGGTCTGGGCACTGTCCTTTGCCCAGGTCTCTCCTGGGATTTGCCTCCTGCCACAATATCCCTCTTCCCAGGTAACAGGACAAGTATTTCCTCCTGGAGAAGGCGCTTGATGTTTGTCAGTCCTAGCTGCCCAGCTGCAGCCTTCTGCTCTCTGACCTGCATCCCTCGTTCTGGGAGGGTCCACATATTTAACTGCGTCTTGTTTAACCACGACTGAGCGAGCTGGGGCCTGTCCCTGCGTGTAGTAACAGACACGGTCCCTCCTGGAGGCTTAGCTTTAGCCAAACCCCTGGCAGCCCCTCGGTGGGCGTGTGGGGGACACAGAGACACGTTGCGGGCTCCGGGGCGGGGGGGAAACCTGAGGTGCTGACCTCAGGCTGGGGTGACGCGGGGCAGAGGTGGAGGGAGAGCCCTGTGCCCGCAGGGAGCAAGGTGAGGTTTCCACCCTCCCTGCAGCAAGAAGAGCTGCACAAAGGAAAGGTGCTGGGGGAAAGGCAGCCCCAGAGCTGCTGCCACGCTGCTCTGGGCTCAGTGCTGAGCTGGGCTCCTGGCCCAGCTGGCGTGGGTGCCACCCCATACGGTGAGGACAGAGCCAGGCAGAGCTGCCTGCGTGGCCGGCCGTGGTGGGGAAACCTCCACGGCGGCCACAGCCTGAGCAGAGGCTGGGGGTGTCAGAAGCAGGGAGAGCTCCCGCGCAGGGGCTCGGGGCCATCCTGGCTCTGTGGCCATTCTGGCTCCCTTTCTGGCTCCGTGGCCGCCGAGGAAAGGGGGAATGCCGCAGGGCGGCAGCCTGGCCATGCGCCTCCAGCACCAGGGGAAGGAAGGAGCTCTGAGCCCAGCCTTGATCATGTCCCGGAGCTGCAGAAAGCCGTGGCGGGGTGCAGAGCTGCAGCTCACGGCGTCAGGCTTGCCCCTCCAGCCCCGCGGGCACGTTACCCCCCTGCCCAGCCCGGGCGGCAGCGAGCGCAGGCAGGAAACCCGGTCACTTGAGCTGTCTGGAAACTGGGGGAGTTATTTATAATGCCAAGGGGATTTTGCAGGGGACAGTTTAGGCAGATGTTGCCCGGGGAGGGCAGCCGGGGCAGCCGTGAGCTTTCCTCCTGTGGGGCTGACGAACGAGCCCCCTCCCGCCCCGGTGAGCTTTGGGGATGGCTACGATGAGAAAAAGGGTTTGGAGCGGAGGTTTCGATCCTTCCCAGCACCAGCCTGATCAGATGTTTGGTTTTTTTTCCTCCCTCCCATCCAGGGACGCTGCTGAACCCCGGCTTTTGTGGCTGAATATGCCGGGGCTCCCCAGCTTTGGGAAAGCCACGCTGGGGGACACATCGTGCCCCAACCAAGCTTGTCCTGAGATGTCACACACATCCATCGCCCGGGCAGCCTGGCGATGAGGGGCCCTGGGCAGGGTCACCGCGGCCAGGGATGCTCTTGCTCATCAGGATTGCTGCTAATTATACCCAGGGGCTGTAATTGTGTTGGCTCGGCCAGCTCACGGGTGCATTAGCAGGGTCTCCCCAGTGCGTCCCGTGGGGCTGATGGCTCCACGGTCCAGGCAGCACAGGCGGGTGCGGGAGTGAGCGGAGGAGAGCGCTGCGGCTGCTGGGCACAGACATTCCTCGCACCGCGCGGGCGCAGGCAGCCCAGGAACCTGCCTGCACCCCTGCATGGGAGACGAAGGTGCAAACGCCGACAGGGCCCCGCTGCCATGTGCATGTGGGTGCAGAAGTTGCCGGCGCACGGAGTCTGCAGGCTGTAAGCCCCTGAACTTGTTAATTAACTCGTTAAAAGGACGACAATCAGACGGTGGTGGGTGGTTTGTGCAGGCAGCCCCGGGGCAGAGTGAGGGGGGGGGGGGACCGCAGAACCTC